AATCCTTGCTAAAAAGTTGACCTCAATGAACTTGCTGTCTGAACAAAGGCTGAGAGAGAATTCAATGTCAGATGATTTACTCACTACCAAGTTAGACTTGCAATATGTGAAAAACATCCAATAGAGGTGATGAAGAGCACATTCAAAATGTAGCGACCTCATGCGTATTAGGTCGAAGAAGTTTAAGGGTCGAGGGTCATGATTTATTGCCCAGGGAGTAAGAATGCACCATACAAATGTTATGGCCTAATGTCCATTACATTTTCATATATTCTGTGTACAAGACATTACTTAATATTGTCCTAATGTGTACTACTTGGTGCCTTTGAATATATAAAAGTCAAAATGTATTGAGTAGCTTCACTATAGGTGTATAGCAATTATAGGTGATGTTATCCAGCAACTCTTTGCATGAAAACAACAGAGATTGTGGATCTCTTCCTTTCTATGTTTTCATGTCGATCCAACCAATTGGAATACAACTCAGGCGTTGAGGTACTCCAAAAACATGTTCAGCTCAGAGACGCAGACAGACAGATATTGTCCCCTGGACAGTGGGTAGCTGCGACCATTAGCCAGCTGCTCAGGACTCTTACAGTAGATCTATTCTCTCACAACCCACCATTACTCATTACACACGCCTACTAATTTCTCCTCTCTCTCTCTCTCTCTCTCTCTCTCTCTCTCTCTCTCTCTCTCTCTCTCTCTCTCTCTCTCTCTCTCTCTCTCTCTCTCTCTCTCTCTCTGCCCCACCCAGAGGAAACATGACAGAAAGAGAAAAACACTCGGACAGGGGAAGAGGAGCAAAGAATGTGTGTGTCTGTATGAGGTCTGACACACATAGCAGGACATTACCAAACCACGAACGCGGAAGACACTTTATATTACCAACTCAAACAGATGTGCACATGCGGGAGAGTCTACTTAAGTCAAAAGTTCAAAATAAACTAAATGTATCAGTTCTTGTACTTAAGTAAAAGTAGAAGTACCAGAGTGTAGGAATACTCTGTTATAATATAAATCCTGCAATCAAAATGTTACTCAAGTAAAAGTAGAACAGTATTATCATCAAAATATAGTTAAAGTACCAAAAGTAAAAGTATCTGGAGAAAAACTTCTTAGTTACTTTACCACACTGCCTGTGACAGGTGTGTCAGGACTCATTACCAGAGCTTTGAGGCTGAGCTTATATTTAGAAAAGATGTTTTCAAATGTATTCTTGTCTCGTACATTAAAGTCACTCACTGTTCCTAAATCGTAATTGTATTCAAAATATGTATTTGTTTTGTACAGAGCATAGCAATGATTTTTAATATATTATTCACTGAAAATGAGAAAAAATGAGAAAAAAGAGAATTCCCTTCAATATAATGAAAGATATTGCAAATATTTCTGATTACAAAATATATTTGTATCTCCAAATCATTCAGCCCTAGTGCCCAGTGAATCAAGAAGATTAAGCTATGTTAGCTACATCTTAAATAAGTGACTCACCCCATGATGGAGACATTCTCTTCACATTAACATTGGTTTTATCTCATTCTCAGCATACATACATACATATATATAATACATAATATGTTGTCTTAAACTACTCTCCCAAAAAATACTCATGTAATGCATGATCCACTCTGGAGAAACCTGTCCCCTGTCCCTTCCCAAAGACTCACCCGGAGAGGGTTTTCCAGTATGTGCGCCCTGTGAGCTGCATCTGGAGAACTTCCATTTGCCATGTTTTCCTTGTCGTTTTATAAGGAAATACCACTTTTCTAGATACTCTGGTCACATATTCGTCTTTTGTTCTCCACTCATATCTTCATCCCGTCCCACGTCCCCCGTCGCCTCAGTGGGAACAGAAGGAAACGCTCCTCACGTTCGGATCAGAAGGGCTGCTGACTTCAAGTACAGTCGGACAAATCTAAAGTTTTTTAACAATTAGTTATAAAACATCAGGGATGGTCCACATGTTTTAAAAACGTTGCTTTTGTGTTGGGGTGGATAACAACAATACAAACAAAACAAAAGTAGAGCATCAACTGCAGCTACACATAACATTGAAGATCCATTTCATTGAAATTATGTTTGGCGCTTATATATACAACATTGCAAGAGGCACATGAAGGCAGCATAAGCGAACAGGTGCGGTTCCTGTTGCGCATGGAAAGAGCGCTCTAGCGCAGATACTATGGAATGCCATTTAAGCCAAAATTAAATAAATAAATACACAAATAATTAAATAAATACATATATATATATAAATATGCCTATGAAATAAATTCTGAAATAAATAAACGAGGCAATAAATATGTATACATGTACATTTAAATACACATTTATTTATTTCAAGAGACTTTTATTTCATAATGACACATTTATTTATTTTAAGAGACTTGTATTTCATAATGACACATTTATTTATTTCAAGAGACTCGTATTTCATAATGACATATTTATTTATTTCAGATGACTTGTATTTCATAATGACGCATTTATTTATTTCAGATGACTTGTATTTCATAATGACGCATTTATTTATTTCAGATGACTTGTATTTCATAATGACGCATTTATTTATTTCAGGTGACTTGTATTTCATGATGAGACATTTCCATTCCTTATATGCAAATGAACTAACGTGGTTAGCTCACAGATCCAGACCAAAGCAACAGCACCACAACACTCAATAGCTTTTGTTTCACACTCCAGTACTCTTAAGTGGTTTGCAAACTGCCAATAAACCAAACCGGTTCAAGAACCATTCTTGTGCTTTTCTGGTGCTTAACTGGTTCTTCTCTGGTCTTATCTGGTCTTCTCTGGTCCGCCCAATGCTGCTCTTCTGAGAGCAACCGCTCTGACAGCTCTCTCTAGTCTCTACTGGGAAACAGCCAAAAGTCCTTCTGGAGCTACGATTGGTAAGCAACGCTACACAATTACACCCAGTCTGAGAGTAAAAGATGTCTCGAAGGTTCGTTTTGCTTTCTTACAACGTTAAGTTAATGTTAACGTAACCTTAAGTTTGCTAGGAGGCTATTGTTACGAGCTAGCTGTCTTAGCTAACAACAGTTAGCAGCTAACGTTTTCTGCAGTTTGTGTTGCCCCTGAAAAACGTGATTTAGTTATTTAAGGGTATGTTAAATGAACGTTATTTTACAAGTTGAGAGAGTTAAGTTGTGTTTAAAATCGTCAATGTAATGCACGTTAGAGGTTTTTAGTTGGACAAAATAGCTAACGTTAGCTAACTCTACCAGGTTAGCATGTTAAGCTGTACTTTCTGTGGCAGCTAGCTTAATACAAAGAGGGGTTTTGTGCTTAATTCCAAACTTTTCTTTGTTAATCTATCTGAAACTGTTGGGACAGTTTGTTTCTACTCAACTATACAGACCATTGTTGAGGAGATGCAAAACATACTGTACATGAGTTGGGTCCAACATATACCTTGAGTAATGTTACTTTGCTGCTAAAAATGAAACATCATTATCAGATGAGGACATCATCAAAGTGTGTGAGTCTGTCAGGGGATTTGATCTGTTCTCTGCATGTCGTAAACACTGCTCTGGTATTACTTATCTTGTCAAATGTAAGTCTCGCTCTTGTCATCGTTCAGGTTTTGCATTTGAACTCCTATGACTGGTTGCGGACTTGAAGGGAACGCCTTCCTGGCCTTCCTGACATCCAGGAAAAAGGTGAGATTCTAATACATTTGAATGCCAAAAGCAAGTTATTGTTTTTAACTTTTTAAATGATTGTTTTGGGGCATTTCAGTTTTATTGGACAGAGGCAGTAGATATCTACTGGAAACAGTGGAGAGGGAGGAGATGATATGCAGTAAAATGCCCCGCCGGATGGTTGCTGCTCCGTGTGGAACGTGTTAAATCAGGTAAAGCACCCAGTTATTTATGGTATTGAGTTTGAATTTAGCCTTTGGAATGTAATTTCCAACAGTGCATTGTAAAGACTGAAAGATGTAAAGCTTGACATGATTTGGTCTTTTATTTAAGAAGGTGTTTGTCCTCCTGTATTCTCTTATTTCCTTATCTTTCTTTCAGGTGTAACATCTACCAATGGTTGTACATGACAGAGACCTCCTCCACCTCTTTGCTGTCTTACTAGTCAATCCTTCTGATCAGGTCCTTTCCTAAATAGTGGTAAGTTTTACAGTTCAGTGTACGTTAATTTAGCAACTTAATGCTTTACCGCTGTTGAATAAATCCTATATTGCTAGTAATTTTATTAAAACTACGATTTGTAAACTTTTTGATTCCAATTCCAATAATCTTTTTGTTATAATTGTAAAACATATCTTAACATCCATCAGCAATCAATACAACAAATCATCCAACACTAAATAGAAGAAATCTGGACATATTTCTTTTTATACAGCAGCATGTGTTGGGACTGCTCATTGATGTCATCAAGAGCCATTGAGTCTACCTTTTGTAGTCGGCCTCTCAGAATGTTTATCATTTATTTGTATCTTAACATTCCGATAATCATTAGTTTTTTTATTGTTGATATTGTTTTGTTCTTTATTTTTGTTGTGAGAATCACTTTGCAATTATTGTGTAAGTGCTATACAAATAGTTATACTAATATTATTGTTGTTACCATCATTATTATTATTAATAATGTCTTCTTTGTTTTCTTTATTTATCTCTGCAGAAAGGATCATGCCAGCCCACATCAAACACCTGATCAAGAGCTTGTGAACCTCACTGCTGCAGACACCTGTGTGCTATTCCACTCTGACTGGAACCCTCAATATGACCTGCAGGTACGATATATATATCTGCTCTGTCTGTCCTAAAGATAGTTCAATAGGGCTACAACAACAACAACAACAACAACAACAGTCTTTCCGTTTATTCCCTCGGTTCTTTAAGTGTATATTATTTTCCCATTTAATGCTTAAAAACGTTGAATAGCAGCTGCACATGATGCTCTTTTGACCCCTCTTTTAATTTTTTATTTCCGGCTCAAGCTCAGTGTCATCGTTTTGGCCAGTCTAAGGTGGTGAAGGTGTACCGTCTGATCACTAGAAACTATGAGAGGGAAATGCTGGATAAAGCTAGTCTGAAGCTCGGGCTGGACTGTGCCGTCCTGCAGAGCGTGAGTGGGAACAAAGAAGGCAACAACAACGGGGTGAGAAAAAGAAAATCTGTCATATTTCTAGATGCCAAGTCATGTTTGGGTCAGTCGCTGTTGCAGTACGCTTAGTTTTTAAAAAAAAAGAGTTTTCTAAATCCACTTGTGTAAATGTCTCTCTGCGTCGCCTTTAGCCGGTCCAGCAGTTCTCCAAGAAGGAGATCGAGGACCTGCTGAGGAAAGGAGCCTACGCCGCCATCATGGACGAGAACGACGAAGGCAATCACTTCTGCTAGGAGGACATCGACCAGATCCTGCAGCGAAGAGCCACCATCATCACCATCACCAGGTATGTTCTTTGCAGCACTAGCCACTTGCGCTTTGTGTTGGTAACCAAGTACTTGGTTATTTGAAATGTAATATTGATGAGGTAATAATTCAAACTAGGGATGGGTACCAAGCCCCAGTATTAACGGGGCCCCGGGGCTGAATTATTAAAGACCGTGGTACCGTTAACGTCCAATGTTATCAATCTTTTTATCGTTACGGGAGACATTTAAAAAATAGACGTCATATGTATTATATCTACATAAACATTATATCGCAGTCTTACTGCAACTCCGTTTCTAATATGCAATAAGACTACAAAGTGCGTCTATGATTTATTTTCGATCTCTCCAATCCAGACAAGATCTCTCTCCCCTGTCAGTGTGCTACACACACACACACACACACACACACACACACACACACACACACACACACACACACACACACACACACACACACACACACACACACACACACACACACACACACACACACACACGCGCGTGCGCACACAAACACATGGCGGAGAGAACTAAGCGCCCCGAGGGTAGTTATGTTACCCGTCTTGAGCATGGATGTTTAATAAGAACTGGATACAGCGTCGGAGGAGGGGCCTCGTTCTTTTCTATGAGAGCTGCTCATTGGCGCATGAAGTCAAAATGGCCCAACTTTTGAGAGAGCGAAACGTCACAGATTACCCGTCATGCCTGGCTGTCAGAGCAGAATAACCCGTTTGTGTGCTCATAGAGCATGCGCCCCTTAAGCCCCGCCCCCCGAGCACACACTCTCGGCTCACTAGAAAGAATGGAGAGAGAGAATAAATCTAGATTCGGCTTTTAGTGCATTTTACAACTTTAAGGACTTAATGATTCTAGGGCTATACAATAGTTCATACTGGGTAGTTTATTTAGTTTCAAAAAAATTATCCACCGAGTTACAGACGTCTCTTTCCCAATGTTAGTCAATGGGAAAAAGTATTTCTGGGCCGGTCGACGTCACAGACTGATAAGGAAATTGTAGTACCGCCGTTTGGACACAACGAATATTTTCCTCAGAGTCCGGCACACTTCCTGGGGGCTTGGTCTTGAGGTGGAAAATGCTCGTTGCCAATAGTGCAATAAGAATTTAGCATGTAAGGGCGGTAACACAAACTATTTGTCTAAACATTTAGCAAAAGTGCTCCACATTCAGACGGAGGAATGCACCGGGTTCGACTGTCTTTCTAGTAGCTCTGTAGCCCCATCCACGAGTAACATTTCCACGTCAGGTATATATTATGTATGCTAGCAGCAACACACAGAGTTAACTCAATGATACAAACATGGGTTAATGATTAGAGGTAACTGAGTTATTTATTTTGTTAAAGTTTCAGCAATTCTGTTTACAGTTCTGTCATCAGATTATTTAATACGATTTGTTAAAACATTGTTGTTTCTTATTTTCAGTTTGCTTCAAGCAGTGGCTGCACGAGAAAGACGTGGAGGACCAAGAAATGCTGGCCAGATTGGCAAAGACCGGAAGATACATAACAGAGAAGATAATGGATATTAACAAGAAAAAGAAAAAAAATGTTTAGAATTTCTTTGTTGCTGTTTACATTTTGAATTATATTTGTTATCTTTTTTAGATAATATATTTATTTAGATGTAGGTTTTTTTTGTAATATTATTGTATTAAGTGTAATTTATTAAATACAAATACTGTTATGAACACTATACAATGTCTTTATTTTGATAGTTACCAGAATACATTGTATATTTAATACTAACATAAACTGGTGATAGATAAATGCTGGTCTGCTGGTATGCCAGCAGACAAATATTTATAAAGACAGGGTATGGTACACCCATACCAAGAAATGGCCATGAAAAATGAAGTTAAAGTAAGCAAACTAAAGTCCGCCAACTCGCGCGGAGTAAATTGCACAGACAGCAGTTAGTAAGATTGATTTCAGCAGCCACTTGTCTGGAAATACGGAAGACCAGAAACGGTTTTGAAAACTTTTGTCACGTAGTGATCGTCTCCTCAATAGAACATCTTTGATAATGTCTTCTGGCCAATCAGAATCAAGATAACGGCGTGGTGTTGTTGCAGGAAGTCCCGACGGAGAATACTTTAGCTGTAGTACAGGTAACACATAACTGGTACGCAGGTTATGTGCGTAATCTGAAATGCGTACCGTCACTTGTGTCACAAAGCGCATTTGCGTACCGACGTACTTGTGAAGCTTTTCCAGAAGGCGGTTAGATCACCGGACGACAGAGTCGGTCTCCGTGTGCACAGACAGGGCTGCTGTTAACGTCGGTCTGTACAACGGAATTGTGCCAAAACTACGCCAACCGGCTGCGGAGGGAGACTCCTCCCTTCACTGGAGAACTGCGCTAAAACAGCTGATCACAACGTTCACACTCTGTGGTCACCAAGTACTCCACTAGCGCCCCCCCCGTCGACTTTCCTGAAGTACTCCCCGTTGATAGAAATCAACACGTAATGAATTAAGACCCCACGCTTTGATGATTGATAGGTGCTCTCTTTCATTTTGACACACAGAAAAATGTTACAATAAACATGTTAAATGGATATATCCGCCTTCTTTCATTTATCTTTCCGTTCCCACAACAATATACATAAAGAAATGACATATTTTGGACATAGTTCGAATGGTGATTAATCATGATTAATTAATTTTTAAACTGTGATTAATCTGATTAAAAATGTTAATCGTTTGACAGCCCTAATTTATTTATTTTTGGATTAGATCATAGATACGTCCATGAGTTAAGAGATGGAATGATATGATGATTCACACTCATGTACAGTAGGTGGCGGTATGCACCTTAAAGTTGTTTGCAATCCGCCAAAAAACCGAGAGAAGAAGAAGTCAACTGGTTTGCCAACGGACAATTTACACCGAAGAAGAAGAAGCGAACATTTCTGGCGGGTGAAATTTAGAGTATCAGATTACATGCGATGTCTGACTGAGAATTTAGTAGTTTGCCTTATAGTCCTTCTCCTCCATTTTCTTCCTCTTCTCGAGTAGTCAGTGTGGTGCTGTTGCTTTGGTCTGGGTCTCTGGATCTGTGAGCTAACCACGCCCCGTTCATTTGCATATAAGGAATGGAAATGTCTCATGAAATACAAGTCACCTGAAATAAATAAATGCGTCATTATGAAATACGAGTCTCTTGAAATAAATAAATATGTCATTATGAAATACGAGTCTCTTGAAATAAATAAATGTGTCATTATGAAATACAAGTCTCTTGAAATAAATAAATGTGTCATTATGAAATAAAAGTCTCTTGAAATAAATAAACGTGTCATTATGAAATAAAAGTCCCATGAAATAAATAAATGTGTATTTAAATGTACATGTAGGCTATACATATTTATTGCCTCATTTATTTCAGAATTTATTTCATAGGCATATTTATATATATATGTATTTATTTAATTATTTAATTATTTATGTATCTATTTATTTATTTAATTTTGGCTTAAATGGCATTCCAGAGCACCACATCCTGGCATCATAAACTAAATATAAATGAACAGTTGCCTAATGCAGAATTAAAAATTAAAAATAATTAAATTAAAAGAATTAAAAATAAGAATAAGAATAAGAATTAAAAATAAACCCTCCAATGGCTCCCCAGACTTGATTTGGCTACCATTGCTGTAGTTGGTCTTTAAACACGTTGCCCCCTGCTGGGCACATCCAGGAGGACAGATCTGACAATCTCCCAGAAGACTGGACAACGCATTTGAAAAGCCCACGTGAAGGCTGCTGATGCTCTCCCATTCAGAAACAGGTGTTTTATTGTTTATCTGCATGATTTACCATTCACCCCTCATCATCTGCAGCCAGTGGCGGCTGGTGGAATTTTTTCTAGTTAGTGCTGTGCCACATGCAATCAATTTCAGCATACAGGGTTAGTATGGTGGAGGAGTTTTCAGCGTTAATTGTAATGACTATGTACAAAAACTTAAATAAATGGCATTAGCAATACTTGCATACATATATGTATATATATATATATATATATATATGTATATATATATATATATATATATAAGTAGTTATACTAATGCCACTTTCGTCTCATTAGTATGCATAGAAAAGTGACAGGTCACACCCCCTTCCGCCGGAAGTCCCGCCTCATAAGCCACGCCCCCCGACTAAGCCCCGCCCATTCCGGTGGATGTCCTGCCCCACTTCCGGTTTTACAAAATAAAATAAAATAATAATTTAAAAATGAGAAAAATGAGAAAAATATAATTTAAAAATCAATCACATTAGTATGCATAGGATCCATGTCCCGCCTCCTAACCACTTCCTGTGCCCCCTAATCCTGTATACAGTATTGACTGTAACTTACAAATACTTGCAAATAACATAACATTTAGCAACCATATATTTAAAAAAGTAATGTCAATCTCTCTAACCCCTCCTTGCTCTAAAGAGTTCCGTGAAAAGTTTTGTGAACAGTCTGGACTTGTCCTGAGACAAGTCAGGACAAGTGTGGGAGAAACCATAAAACCCCCTGACATCCTCTACAGTCAAATGGCGGGCGAGGGGAGGGGTAACACACACACACACACACACACACACACACACACACACACACACACACACACACACACACACACACACACACAACCAGATGTGGGGGGTTGAGATAGCCTGGGTGTAAATGCCTATGTTAATTAAGACACTCTCTGTGAGTTAGTTTTAAAAAGAAATAAACTCAAATTAAATAAAAACAGCCATTAATTTTCACTCACCAAGACATCTAAAAACGTTATTGTCCTCTCTAGATTTGATTCAGGGTTTGTTTTAAATGGTGTGTGCTGGCTAAGGATGTTTCTTTTCAAGTTTTGGGAAACTGTTAAAGAAGTATCTGTTTTGCAAAGAGGTTATTTTCAAAAGATCTTATTTAGGTTTTAATAGTGATACCTAAGGGTATTCTCTTTTAGTATATGGATTTGTGAACTAATGTGTAATTACCTTTTATTAACTATAATTGCACAGGATCATTCTAAGAAGAGTGAGTGAGAGGGCTAATGAGCCAGCACCATACCTCCTCTATGCATTTTTCTTGACCTGTATCTGATCTTGAAAAACTTGACTCTTTTAAAAAAAGTTATTTTTCATCTATCATTTTCAACCATGCAGCAAGAGATCAAATGTAAGAATAAGTAATAGTTTGTCACGATTTTACGGGAAATAGTCAGTGCGCGATGTCACATCTTAAAGACAGCTTGAACTGGATAAATGGTTAGTCTTTTTCAAACATACCGTACATTCTGCATGTTAGTATATCTGGCCAATCGATTTAGACCCTACTGCCTAGACGCATGCCCTCAATAGGGAAGTCACGCTTTGGGAAGAGGTGTTTCATTTCACAGATCCACCTTGATTGTTGTTGTGAGGGGTGAAGGAAGAGGGACGGGGGAGGAAAATTCAGAGGATGAAGAAGCAGAAAACATAACTTGTTTTGTAAAACGGACAGCACGTCAGTTTCAAGAAAGACGACACCGTGTTTATGCATGACATGCAAAATATCTTGAAGCCCTGTAAAAAAAAAAAGGTACAAGTATATTGTGTTGAAAATATCGCAAAAAGTCGTAATTTGTATAATATATTAGTTGCATGTTGTATTTTGCTAGAAATCACTATGTAGTTTTTCAAAAAATATAATGGAAAAAGGAGAGAAAGACAAAAAACAAAATATCACAGTATGTTGAAAAAATATGAAAAAGTAATGTGTTTAAAATAACATGAAGAAATCAAAGTAACGTTTCTAAAAAACATATATTTTAGAAAAGTAATGTGAGTCATGTCAAGTTATCAAGACTGCTGTGTAACTAAAAGTATCTTATGGCGCGTTTCCACTGCAGCGGGTAACCCCGTTTAAGCGTCCTTAACCGTCCTCAAGCGGCCAGGCCGGTTTTTGGTGGCGTTTCCATATAGCCTAGTACCGGCCAGCGGGTACTTTTTCCCTCTTTTTCCGGCCTCATAAAATCGTGGTTCCCTCAGACCAGGGCCAGGGCTGAACTAGTGACGTCAACACTCTCGACTGCTGATTGGTCAGAGAGAATCGTCACAATATTGCGCGCGAGTTCATCCCTAGCGTCGCATATATATTTAGAAGCAAGCTTGCAGCATTTTTATAAACAGCATTTTGTAAACGGATGAGCTACAAAAATGGCTACGTCTAATAAGAAAAGCACACGTGGTCGACCGAGGAGGTGACGACGTTCCTACATCTCATTGGGGATGATCAAATCCAGCAGGAGCTCGACGGAACAACTCGAAATGTGAACAAAAAAAAAGCCGATCGCCCCGCCTACACTGCGTTGCTATAGTAACTACCCCAGGTCCTAAACTGTAATGGGAATGCGCCACGGCCTGGGCCGGCCAGCGAGGCAGCCCGGGGCCAGAGCGAGGACGCTTAGGGACGCTTAAACGGGGCTACCCCGCTGCAGTGGAAACGCGCCATTATTAACACAAGAAAAGAGAATAAAGCATTGATGTTAACAAAACTGGA